AGCGTTCCTGCACGTCACAATTTGATGCTCCTGTTATAACTGTCTATGGAAACATTGCAACTTGATCTTTTATGCTAACTGATCTTCCATCAGTTAGGTAACCATGATTCTTGAGCCATTCATAGAGCTTCAAGAACACTTCACTGGACATTTGTACAACTTCCAAAAATTGTCTAGGATTTGTATCTAGTTATAGCAACTCCTCAACATAGGCTTTACCACTTAGTACTGAGGTCCGACAAGGTTTCTTGTCAAATCTACTTTCTACTTCTTCCACAACAGCTGTAGTCAACTGCAATAATCTTGAACCATCTATTTTGAATATAGATTGTTTATCCTTTTCCTATCGACTGATATTGAAAAATAATAATGATTGTGCTAGAGGTTTGTTGGTTGAGAATAAATATATCATAACTTGAATTGCAATATGGTTTTATTAAATTTTATAATAATTATAAGTTTTATTATCAAGATATTATACCCTATTATTAACAGGATATACTCTTGTTTAAATTATATTATTATTACAATTAACAATAAAATAAAATCAAAATCAAATTTCCATTATACTATAACTATGGGTTCAAGAAGGGAAGACTGTCAACCATGTGGCACAGTCAAATGCAACAGTGGCTGTGCAAATAATTGCCAAGACAATGAGTGATTGACTATGAAGAAGTGTACCTATTGTAAGAGATATTAATTATATACAATAGTTTGAGAGTCTGAAACTCTACAATGACTTCTATATATTTTAGTAACCTTCTCTCTAAAGTCTAGTGTACCATAAGCAATACCTTCTTGGTATGCTCTTATCATTCTCTCAGTACACACCTAAAACTTCTAGATTAAAGTTGGTTTTACTAAATTCAAGCATTCAGGTACTATTTTACATAATGCACAGATATTGTATCTGCCATTGAGGAAATATTTTTGTTTGTAGTATGCTATATCAGTAGAATATATCATGCTTCTTCATATAATTTACTTTAACTGACTTACATGCTAAAGTTATGATTACTCAGCAATTGTATGTTGCATTTCAATGCCAAGCCACAGATTGTAGATCAAAAATTCAATTTTTCAATCAAGGATGCCACTCCTGATACTTGCTTCTACTAAATTAAAAAAACATACTTTTATTCTACTTCACTTGCTCTCTATTTCTACATTTTTTTTACCTAAGTTAGACTACTATTGGGTGGGTGATGTTTAATTGAACACCCCCAAAAATGAGGTTGACACTTATGCCTTCTTGCACTATAGATTTCTACATAAGTGTAATCTTGTATTAAGCAAACAGACTTATCTTATCTCTTTGAAAACTTACATGAATTATACCCATAAAAAATCCTCAGAATAGAAATACAGAGGATTGAAATACTATAGTATTTTTGTACCTATCAAACACTCACTGAATATTTTAGTTGAATGCAGCAGAAAAAACTAAGAAAAACTAAGAAATACACTGTTTTTCTGCCATACCAAATAGGGCCTAAAAAGAAAATATTAAAGCTTATAATTCTTGATATTAGGAAACAAGTAATGTTGAAAAATACATGTACACTAGAACATTCTATACAGCAAGCTTATAATGTGAGATTGAGTTACAAAATATTATATTAAGCCATGAAAAAGTTGTTTTAAGCTATCAGTCATATTAAGCTAGCAAGTCATATTAAACTAGCAGGTACTCTCTGAAGAGTACCTAAGTTATGAGCCAGTAAGTAACCAGGAGTTGTAATACTTAGTCAGAACCTTGATATGAGTAGGTCTTCTTACCTTTCTCTTCTCCATACTTATCTTTTCTGAACTCGACTCTTTCTCTGCTCTCTTCTTGTCTTTCTCCTTCATCTTTCTTGTTTCCTCCTTCTCCAAATCTAATAATTTCTTAAAACTATTCCTTATTCTCTCTTCTCTTTCCTTTCTTATAATCCTGTTTCTTTCTTTTTTTTTTTTTTTTCTTTCACTATCTCCCTTCTCTTAATTCTCTCTATTCCTCTCAAGCATATTCTTTTTATCACCACCTCCCCATAACTTCTTTCTTCCTCTACTGCTACCATATTTCCTACTTTCTCCTTCTGTCATTCCTCCTTCTTTTCTACTTGATCTACTTCTTTCTTTTCTACTCTTTTCTTCTTTACTATCTTTTAAAAATTCTTTACTCTTTACATATATTTCTTTATCCTCTTCCTATTCAAGTAACTTTTTATCTAATGTACATCTTTTCTTTCAATTCTCAAAATATTTTCAATATCTTCTAACCTCCCTCTCTAGTCCATCCAACTTCTATATAATATATCTACCTCTTCTCTCTTCTATCCTCTCCTCTCTCCTTCCAATCTCCTCTTCTATTTCTCCTCCTCCTCTCTATTTCTTATGTCTTTTAACTGCCTTCATACTCCCTTATTTCTTTTAATTTTTATTATTATTTCACTCATAGTATATTTGAATTAATAACCAAAACACTCATGTACAGTAAGCTAAGCTAAGATGTACAAAATGCCTATAAAGGAGGGTAGACCATACTAAAAAAAAATGTAAAGTGAGAACCTAGAAATCAAACTACTGAAATAGGCTACCCCAGAACCATTGTCAACCCTAAAGAAAACCAAAACCTAAGAAACCAAACTCATAAGCTATGCCCAACTCAGGAATTACAACCTGAGGGACACCTGTAGATGACACCATTGATTCTGCTAATCTAATCAGAATATAGTAGGATAGGGGGACAATAGAGGCTAATCGTAAAGACAAGATAATGATCCTAGAGAATTAGACCAGTAAACGAAGGCAGGGTGAATAGACAGTCACAAATCAGAGTGTGGAAACTGGAAAAATAGTGGTCCTAGAATGGAATAATAGTATGGTACAAGCATTGAAGAAGGAGGGAGAAGGACCCGAAGGTCTGAGGGGTGGTAGAAGCGTGCTAACCAGGTAGTAGTAGGGTCGCAGCTATAAGAGGCAGCAGAAGAGTGCTATTCAAGTAGTTGGTTACCAGCTACACAGCAGTAGGGTGTAAGCTGACTGACAAAAAAAGAAGGTGAAAGCAAACAATAGCTTAGTTATAAGGACCCCTAAATTGATATGGCTCAATGCTACAAACCTGGGATCACAAAGGCCATGTCCAAACCCCTAAACACAATTGGTATTTTACTATATCTCTTATTCAGTCTCTTGTTATTAAGGAAATAGTATTACTTAGTAGGAGCTTAAGGCATAAGAAGGATAGCCTAAATTCTCTAAGAGAGGAGGTAGGAGAGAGGGGAATGAAAGGAGGTTGGGGTTTACAATAATTTCTTGTAGTATTAAGATCTTAAACACTAGGTATAAAGGTACAGAGGTCGATACTTCGTACTCCCTTATCTGTCCACCTATCTATATCCTTCTCTATTTTCTCTTTTTCCTCCTCCACATCTATCTCACTATCCATTCCTCTCTTCATATTTTATAAACTTACTCTTCTCCTCTTTCTCTCTCCTAGATATTTAGTATTCTCCAAACTACTGTGTTCTGTATTTTTTTTCATCTCCTAAGTCTACTAAGTTGTTACTTACTTCTCTCTTGTTTCTATTTTTCTTCTTTTCTTTCTTCTTACTCAAGACCTTCTGTTATGATCCTGTCCCTTCTTTTTCTTTTTCTTTTTTCATTATTCTTTCAATCATGATTCTCTTATAGTGTGTGCTATTCAAAACCTGCACGAGAAATTCGACAACTTTTAAATTGACAAGGGTCCACAACTAGTATCATTATGTGAAATAAAAAACCTCAGGATTCAAGAGAGAATGGATGGAGAATAACTGTGAGGTTTTCTTTTATTTTTTTTGTCCTTGGTTGGAGAGCCTTGCAAATTTAAAAAGTTGTACTTTTGGTGAGAAAGGGAGAAAAATGTTACATCAGCCACAGTTTAATTTCTTAGTAATCAGAGATTTATTATTCAGGAAATAGGGTTTTGGCTTAAAAAGGTCATTTTATGTACTAAAAAGAGTAAATATAACCTGTAACCTATAAGGAATACTATTAACCCTAATGATAACAACCATTATTTCTCTGGTATATGTAATAAAATCATAGTAATATTATATATGGGAGAATTGTTACTGGTAAATTACTTCAAAGTTTCTCATCTGCTTCTATAATATCATATTTTAAAAGAGTATTGCACATATTTGTTAATATTTTAACATTTCTCTTCCCTTGTTATTTTTATTATAACCTCATATTATTTATCTTTAAATCTATTTAAAATATATTATTACTTAAACCCTAGACCATAATTCCATGGAAAATTCAAGGCATAGCATCAAAAGAGGCACAGCCACATGTAACATATTATTTCAGCCTCGTGCATGTTTTGAATGGCACAAACCATACCTCCTTCAACAAAATTTCTTCATCCCCCTACCCTATCAAATAATTTACCTATTATTTCTATCCCTACCCCATTCCATCAATCCCCCTGGTTTTCTCCTTTTCCTCCAGTAACTCATTGTCACCTACTCCTACTATACCGTTTCCTCCATTTTTCCAGGTCCAGCCTCCTTCTTGCCTTCTTTGTTACCTCCGGCTATTGTTCTTCAGGAATATATCCAACCAAAAGACTCTGCTGTATCATAAACTACCATAGTGCCAAGTGTTCTAATTTGTCAAAAAAACTTCTATCTTATAATTTCATAGTATTACTATTTCAAAAATGAGGAAAATACCAGATGTTGTATTTGTTGTTCAGATACTTTATCCCTAACACCTGTACTGCACCAGTAGTAAAATTTATCATACAAGGTAATATTACAATAAATTCGTGATACTGTGCCAGTAATCCATTCTTGTCGCTTACTGTGCTCAGGCTTGTACTGTTTGACTACTCGTGCCTTTACAACAGCCTAAACCCTGCTAATTCAAGCCATTCACGGAGCAGCTGTTCCCCCCCCCAAACCCCCACCGGGACAACCGACACATCTCAAAAGCTCCAAATATCACTTCAACTTACCCCCTTCTTCAAGATCGACTCGCCCATTATGGCCGGCCAGATATCTGTGCGTGCTGCTGTAGCCTCAGGTAGGCGAACAGACAACTTCCAGCCAAACATTGAGCTCACAATTACCGCGCAGATGTAGAGGTGATTCTGGAGATGATTAAGGAACTGGCGCTTTATGAGAATGAGCCCGACAAGGTACTCGCTACCCAGGAAAGCTTGCAAAACACTCTGGGGCTCAAGGAGGGCTCAAAGTGCTACGCGAAAACCCTGCTGCTGTATGAGGGCGACAAGCCAGCTGGGATGGCATTGTGAGTATCATGCCATTATCAACGGTTGCAAACACGAGATAGCATGTCACTGATGCAGTGGATATTGAAACAGGTACTTCAACAGCTATAGCACATGGAGGGCTAAGCCCGGAATATACCTGGAAGACCTATTCGTGAAGCCTCAATTTCGTGGAAAGGGATATGGCACAACGCTCCTAGCGACCCTAGCCAAAGAGGTGCTGGAGATCGATGGGGCGAGGTTAGAGTGGAGCGTTCTTAAATGTATGTTGCCCGCCGGGAGAATGATGCAGGAGGCCGCGGAGATTGAGATAGATGGGATAGGGAATGAGCCGTCTATAAAGTTCTACGAAGGGATCGGGGCGACTAATCTAGCCAAAGAATGGCAACAAATGAGAGTGGACGGGAACGCTTTAAAGGATTTAGCTAAAAGAGGTGCATTCGGAGACGGAAAGTGAACCGACCAGACCCGGGGGTTGAGCCGGGCACGGAGAGGGATTGGTCAGATTGTACAGAGCGAAGTGGAGTCAACTCGGGAGTTTTTGCTACAATCAAGTCGTGGTGCCCGGGATTTTCCTCACGAATTTGCTACAGTGGCTTGTGGGACTCCGGGCAAGATGCTCTCTTTGCTTTCTTGTCGCGGGCCCCAAATGTCGGCAATGATCGACCGCTGGGTACTGTACAGTACTCGTACCCAAGTACCAGTAGACCAACATCCGCCAGCCTTCCTCTAGGCACCCTTGTCCACTACAGTATCGAGTCCAGAGTTTTCACCATTTCCATGCATTGTGCCGGTGCTGTGTAACAAATTGACCAATAAGTTAGAACCCATCAACCGAAAACGGTAGCAAACACGAGTCCGGGCAACACTACGTTCCCAGTTTGTAGCCAGTCCAGTGATTGGGCCCGCTGAGCTCAAAAACCCGTCCCGACCCCTTCACTAATGCACAAACAACCACTCCATCACACCTTGTAAGAATCACACCTGCCCCTCATCATCTCCCAGCACTGCTATAGGGAGAACACTGATTTCTAGGGATATTCGATTCATAGGTGATAGCCATGAATATGGCTCCCCTACTGCCAGAGTTGCCAGAGGAGAGTGATCCTTCTTCCCCTGAGCGCTCCCTATTCCCCCTCGCAGGGTTTGGAATTAGTCCACAGCTTTTCCAAAATACCTTTTTCTGACATCCTAGCAGGTTGTGTTTGTTGGAACGAGAGAAATTATGCCACCGGTACTCGAAATCTTGGTGCACTCAGACCGGTGAGTTGAAGGAGAGAGGAGAGGAATAATAGATAAAACCTTTGTCCGGCGGGATATGGTTGGAAGAGGTGGGGGTAAGGGTGGAGATGCCGAGGGATGCTGTTGGGAAATATTCGCAGTAGTGGGGGCAGTAATAAGATATTGAGCGCATGGTTGAGAACTTGAATCCTCAACCGGACGTCAAAAGGTAAGCTGGTTCTCTTCGATCCGCTATCCCCACCAGCATGCTCCCTTTCTTGACCCTGTTTTAGACGTAGATCTATGATCAGTAACTTTGAACACCCTCTCCAGTATACGAGCGCGGCCGACTCAAGGTTGGACATTCTCTATGAGTTGCCGCCCAACCCCGACTTGGCCACCGACCCCAACGGTAATACACCGGGACTAACTTACGAATTCAATGCGATGCGGAGAGAGAACTTCGTTCAAACGTTGCATTTCTTTTCCATTCTATATAATACCACTACCCATCGAGCCACCCGCCACAAGATCGGTCCACGGAGGATAGATAGAAGAGGCAGGTATTGGGAAATCATGATGCTGCTACAAGTACTATTACGGATAAATGGTGCTAGCACGATAGGAGAATGAGGACAGAGAAAGAGGAAAGCACGAGGGAACCCAGGAGTAGGCTATATGCCCTGTGAACTCCATGACCCGCCGGGATCGACGATTGAATCCAAAAAGTTAGGAAACTAGGCAACCAAAGGAACAAAAAAGGGTAGAGGAAAAAAGGAGATTAAAACAGATAATTTGTTCTCAAAGCATGAGGAAAGGGAAAGGAAAAGAAGAGAAAAAGAAAAGGCAGCACAATTGAAGAATTGCGACACATTATCAAATTTTGTGTAAATAGCGCAGGGAATAATATTTTGGGAGGATATCCTACCATCCCCATCTGTCCTGCCGACTGAACGCCTCCCTAAGGTCCAAAGTTTTACCAGTTCTTGGCTTACAATTACAACCAAGTATATGAAAGCCATGACCACCCAATCCAACTAAGTAGAAATGTCCCTTCTGCCAAATGAAACCGTTAAAAGGAAAAAATAATTTTGTGGAAATAAAAAAACAGTGAAGAAACCAACAAACCCCACACAGTGATGAGCAGCCAGCACTCGAATCATGCATTGAGCAAAAAAAGAACCCCCAATCACCGCAATAGCCATACAGAAACAACCAAAAAGCAGCGCAAGATGCAAAATAATGACAAAAACAATAACAAAGGAAAGGCAAGAAAAGGAAAACCAAATGCGAATGAAAGGCGAAGAGCAAAAGGCATCGGAAAACAGAAATATTATTAACGCGTCATACTAAAGCGATCTATACGTATCCAAAGATGCCAGTGGTGCCTCAGCTGCCAAGCTGGGCCAATTACATCCCGTTCGCGGCCGGTGTAACTCCCTGCGCTAACGAAAACTGCATCATCTGCTGCATATCCACATCCTCCTGATCCTCGACCGAGGGCGAGTGGCCAGACAGACCCAGCGACTGCTTTGAGTACAATTCATTCAACCCAACACCATCGTCCGAGAGAGGATTCTGTTGATCATATGCCTCAGGGAACATTTCGGAGCTTGTGGATCGGTAGAGATGGGACAAAGGGGGCGAGGTACTAGCAATCACCGGGTCACCATGACGGATCGAGACGGGAGAAACAGAAGTGCCAATGGCACTAGCTGGATCGACCATAGGCGAAAGGAAAGGCAAACTGTATGGAGTACCATAACCAGCACTGTTGCTCATATCATGATGCAGGGAAGAGTTGATCATCGAAGGGCTAGAATAATCCGAAGGAGAGGTAGTAGTAGCAGCCGACAGAGGGTATGCCGATCCCGGCCTGTAGTCAAGGAATCCGGAAGAAGACGTATCAATGCGGAGAGGGTTGGGGAGTCCCGAGCTAACAAGTGCATGAGGATGCTGAGGGGCGGGGGCATAAAGATGGTCTTGAGCATCCTGGAATGAAAATGATGGCATATTCTGCTGGAGCTGAGAGAAGTCGATCGCAAGCGGAACAGAGCGACTCCTAGTGCGTCTGTGTTTCTGATGAAAGTTGTGTCCAGGGGCTGGGTCCTGTGGGTAACCGGCAGGGGTGTCAACATCATTAGATGAGGCAGGTCGCACAATCTGGGGCGATACAGGAGCGGAGACTGAAAATGTCGGGTTGTCATAAAATTGTTGTAAATGTGACTGAGAGTGCAGGTGTCTGTTCGCAAACGCATCCAGGGTCATCAACTTCGCTAGTTGGCTCTGGAGGATCTTCGGGTGCCCTCCAAGTTGATGGATCAGAACTTGGGAGGCTTGTTGGTCCTCGGTAAAATCACCGCACTGGTAAAACCCACCAGATCCGGATGCAGATCCAGACGAGTCCATAAAAAAGTTGGGAGGTTGGGTCAAAGTGATGACAAGTTGTCCCTGCTTCTGTGCTCCGTGGGACGTGACGGGCGTATCCAAACCCTCGATTTCGATGCTCTTGATATATGCGAACGGATACTCAATCTTATAGCCGGCTGAATCGTTGTTGATATAGTAGGTGATGCAGGCCTTCTCTGGCGAATAGAATATAACCAGGTCCATGGCGTTCTGCCCAACCCGACGCCATGACCCAATGCTCAATGAACGACATGTAAAGTGGTGGATCACTAATCAAGGTCAATTGCATGCAATAAATATAACCCAAGCTCGGGATCTCCAACATACCGATTTTGCCCTGAGGACTTTGCTCTGGATTCAACATATTACCATTGCCATAAGCCGAAAGACTCCGGGATCGATCACCCATGAGGCCACGGGGGAACGCTTTTCCATTTTCCATTGCTTGCATCGCGAAATACTGACGCACGCAATCAGGAACAGCGTCACACTCCTCCCCAGTCTCAAGACTCTTCTTCGCCAAATGCTTAATCTTGGCGCGACTACAAAAAATGAAGAAGGTTAGATCATCTCATTTCATCGATACCATACAACGCTACATACCGATTTTGAAACCAGATCTGTACTGATCGCTCGGTCATGTTAATTTCCTGGGCGACCCGTTCACGAACAATGGCCGTGGGCGTTGGGTTCTTATTGAACTCCGCCTCCAAAGTAACCAACTGCTCCTGAGTTGCACGCTGGCGCTTCTGATTCTTTTGCTGCTGGGTGAGAGTACTCTTGCGTGGTGGGCGTCGCGACATGCTTGCCTGCTGATGTGGGGGAGAAGGAGAAGGACTAGTCACCGAAGACATCCTGCCTCGTATTGTGAATGGAAGAGGTGAGAGTAAGTGTAAACTGTGGATATCAACCAAGCCGTCAGCCGAGGACTCTATGTATCTGCTGACCCGACACTGACCCTGTGCTTTCGTACCCTAAGCAAATCCGGCACTTTAGGCCAGTTCCTGCGTCCGGAGGTTGAACGGGGCTTGGGTCCTCGCACTACCCCGGGAGCAGCTGAGAATTTTAAGAGAGGCCCGAATTATTAGACAAAAAACGGTCCAAGTCAAAAATTTGGCTTATTGACAGTTAACCTGAACTGTGCGGAATCGATAGAGTCAGATGATTTAGAGGTGAGAGTAGTGCGTAAATCTCAACGTGCTTGTGATCGTGTGGGAATTTCGCGCCGGTCGGAGACGTCGAAACCCAAAAGTTGGCTCTTTTTGGAGAAAAAGAGGAAAACTGTTGAAAGAATGAAAAGATTAGAAGAGAAAAATAGGGAGTGTGGAAGTGTCGTCAACCGGATGGATGTTGAAAGCACGTTTGGAAAAAATAAAAAGAATGGGCTGAGAGTTAGGGTTTTGACGAGTCGTGAAAAGAGTGGTGATGGCTGAAGAGCGTGATGATGAAAGAAGGAAGGGGTACTGAATGGGTGCCAAAAAGAGCGTCTAGGACAGCCAAATGAGTGAGGCTGGATCCTGAAAAAGGCGAGTAAAGTTAAAAGAGTATAGAGATGGAGCAAAGAAAGGAAGATCACGAAGCCTGGAGATCAACTGTCGGTGAGGGTAGGAGGAAGAAAGAGAGAGAGGGAAGAGAAGAGAAGGGGGGGGCGTGCGTGTGTGGGGGGAGAGGCGGTGAATATCAGCCAGCCAGCATCCAGGAGTTAGTGAGCAGCCTGACCACCCACACCTCATTCATCACCATCATCGATCCATCAACCACTTACCCACACCTTTCTCCCTCATACATTCAAAAACGGACAGGACAGGCACACACGGCCAGGACAGTACCGTACCGGCAAAGTCAAGGCAGGACAGTCTATTTTTTTTTCCTTTTTCTTCCCCCCCCATTTTCCTCCCTTCTTTATTTTCCTTTTCTTATTTCCTTACAAGTATTCCTCTACTCAACGCATTCTACAATTATGATGCGGTACTCCTCGCTCCATTACCGTACCAGAGTAAGAAAGCGAGGAGAGGACAGTCAAGCAGGCTAACGCTGCTCGCACCTAACGACAACAGATACTGGGACTGGACGGATGTGCGTCTAGTTCAGCGGACCGGCATGGCGAGCGAGATCCATCCGGGGAGCGTCCAGAATTGGAGTGTGCTGCCTCTGTGTGCGTGGGCAATATGAGTACGAGTACTCGAGTACATTACCGTATGTCTACTCCGACTGCTATGGCACGAGTATGGGGGGGTGTGGGAATAGCTTCAGCGCGAGAGAGGGGGGGAGTCGCGCTGGAAAGAGCTGCCAAAGTGCAACTCCTGTACGATCGCTGTAAAGTGCAGGGGGGGGGCGAGAGTTGGGATGTTTGGATGTGAGCACGTTCGAACGGTCAGCGTAGCGCACCTCCATTTTTCTCCCAGCAAATAGCCACCAGGAGATGGGAAAGTGGCTGGGCCTCCTTCCCTTTCCGCCCGTCACACACACACATGCTTCCATCTCAGCTCAAGAGACGAAAATAAAAAATAGAGAAACCAGTAGACTACTCGAGTACCGTACCGTACGGCACAGCACAGTACCGGTACCGTACAGTACTCGTACATTGGTATGGATCTCGGATGTTCCATCTTCTCTCCATACTGGAGACTAGCTTCTCCCATGACAATCTCATGTCTTCCCCAATCACTACCAAAAAGACAACATACCGGTACTCGAGTATGCTCGAGCAGCTCCGTAGCCGAAATAGCAGAAACGTACCCGTGCCACACAAACAAGCGAACCGAAAAGAGAGGCAAAAAAAAAAAAAACAAAGACAAAAACAAACAAAAACACAACCGCTCAAGGAACCCTTCAGGCTAATCCGTCGGCGCTCCAGAGAGTTCAGGCAATGTTTCTTCCGTCCCACTCAGACAGACGCCAGGGGGCCGGAAACCGTTCAAAATGTTGACCCACATAAAACAGAAGGGCGAAAAAGAAACATATTACACGCGGTAAAGTAAAAAATAAAAAAATAAACAAAAGTGACAGACCAACCATATCACCGCTTACGAGATGGCCTCATCCTTGCTCAAGATGCCAGTTCTCGGCACGGTACCTGAATTACGCAGCAAACAGTCCATGTTAGCGTACGGTACCTGTACCTTACCGGCACCCACTCAAGTCCTCGTACCAGTACAGGACTGCTCCCCATCGTAATACCTTTTATCCATCATACCGCCTTATTCTCTGAATCCATCTGCACTACCGTACCCTACTTGTACTCGTACCGTACGTAGTACAGTACTCCAGTACTGTACGCCTCTGTGCACTGCGCCAACGTTAAGGTCTGTTTGGGAATGACTCGACACCCAAACCACTCATGGGGGTCATCGTGATGTCGGTGCGGGAAATGGATTGAGGAAGCTACGAGCAAGACTGCCGGTAGCGTGAAGCATCGGGTGGACGACACCGTAAGGAAGGTTCACTCAACACCGGCAATGGTCAGTTTTGCGTTCTCTACGTCGTTAATGCGCAACACTTTGAAAGCGGTTCCCGAATCCCTCTATTTATTCATTTTTTTTTCCTTTTTCCCTGTTATGATTATTCTTGTGCTGTACGGTACTCCTCTCTTCCCCTGTTCTCTTCTTTTTCCGCCTGCTTCCCCAGCAAAGTCCGAGGATGGGCTGGGCTCCCAGGATGAGGAGCGGAGTGATGTAGGACAAGCGTACGAGTACAGTACCGGCCGGAGGCCCCTCGAGACTTCAAGGGAGTCGGAAACGATTTGCACCTTTTGCAGCTGGTCTGAGACCCTCAGGCCAATACGGTACAGTCTTGGACTGGTGCGAAAGCCCTTCGGGTGATGAGCAGGGATCAGGAATAGGAAAGAAAAAACTGTTACCCTACGGTACTTTGACGAATTCGGTGTTTTACTCGCCAGATATCGGTACAGTACCCCCTATTCAGCATCCGCCGCTTCTCCTCGCCCCGTTGCAGGGTGTAACGCCCAACTCCTGGCAATGTGGAGATCCGGTGGGAGGCTTTCTTTAGCATTTTTGTGTTCTCGAGAGAGCCAGAGAAGTATCTATTGATTACCTTTTTGATAACTCCTTCCCTCCTCCGCCCCGCTTTCCAGGCGTAGGGGGGTTAGGGCGGAGGGAAGACTCGGTTAGATATGTTATCAAATCAACAGATCAAACTTTTCAGACACGCGAGCGCGAGGAGGGCGCGTTTCCACACCGAGAGGGGTAGACTATTTATGTGCCTGCACAAATTGAAAAGAAAAAAAAAGTCTGAGTGATGCCTTATGACCACAATGGGCGGCTGACAAATGTCGGTTGCACCTGGTACAGTTCCGCGGTCCTGCACGCTGAACCAGACTTCAGTGTATCGTACTAGTACGGTGCCCAACTTGGCCTTGAGGTGAAAGAGGTCCCAGACGAGTATCGGTGCTCCGCTATTCGTACTCGAGTACGCTCAAAACTCGGAAAGATCAGGTCCAGGTTCTTACTGGTACTCGAGTATACAAGTACTCGAGTAATTCTCATGCTCACGGTCGCGCAGCCCTCAGGCCGCTGCACTCCGACCCCTCCTTGCTCAGATCCTGCATGATAAGACATGCCGTGGTTCAAGGGGCTACCGGTATCCCAACCTCATATCATACTCACCTCAGCAACGCATAAGCCCTCCTTGACACCTTCAATTCCCCGGACAGTACTCGAGTAAACTACATCTCTGGCATACGACATGCACGTCCATACAGCCCTCATACCCTCCTCCCCTGTACCCAAGAACAATCCATATCATCGAGAGAACAAAAGCCTTTTAGATGACTGATCCTGGATATGTTTCCAGAGGCATTGTAAGAATTTATCGCGGGCAGTTTATTATGAGAACCCTTGCAAATGAGACTATTCCGGAATAATACCTCGAGATAAAAAATAAAATAACAATACCTGCCCGACTTCGACTACATCGCACCGCCTAGGGGTCCACAATAGTTGTACTGTACTTGTATGAATACATTGCGCGTGACAACTCAGCTGAAGGTTAAAAATTGCTCCCAAAAGCTCCTAGTTACATGCTTATATAATCGATCTCTTGATCAACCTGGTCGTTAAAACATGAGGACAGCTTGAGGATTTTACGGTATATTTTACGCCATTCACACTGACGGGGAAGGAAATATGGCGGAGTAACTACTAGCACTAATTTTATTTTATTTTTCTTAAAATTTATATATGTATATATATATTATAATATTATATGAAAAGAAATATACACGAAAATCCTTAGGAGGCAAAGAAAGTATAATAGACAAGCCCAGGGCCGAAGAAGATACGCAAAGTGTGCTCTACAGCCCCCTTAAAAGAGGGATGCCCACGAGGAAGAGTAGTGATAGTTCATGCGGTGTTGGGTCCCAACATGGGAAATTTTCCAATTGTGAGGAAAATAGATGACATGCAGGATGCAAGATATCTATTGCTCGTGGGTAGCAAGCCTGTGTATATCACATTGGGCATTAAACGACCAATACCGGTATTATACTGGTATATATAAAAAAGACAGGCGGTATTGAGTACCTCCCGGACCTATTTGCAGAAGAGCAATAGTAGCAATGGGATGAAGGTATCATACCAGGCTTGCCCAAAACTTTGCCATTCACCTATTGTGATCATGATATATCACTCAGGTTTCCTCATTTGTGACTGTATCTACTAAAATACAAGGCAGGGAGTGAAAAAAGTATTGCAACATGCCATCAGCAAAAAAAGTGATCCTGCATCTGGAATATGGGTTTGTAATAAAAGGCATCCAGAATGTGTCTGGAGCATATCTAGTGCGTCCTGTGGCCCAAATAGGAAATCTTTGTATCACGATTAAGATGTGGAAAATACATTGTTTGCACCAAATGGCTTGGCAAATGGACTATTATTTTGT